GCCGGGCCGCCGGCGCTGCCGAGGCTGGAGCCGGACTGCCCCTCGGGTGAGTCGTCAAGGCAACGGGCAGAGGGGCCCCCCCTCGCTCACGGAGTGTGTGTGTGTGTGTATTTGTTTTGGGGGTGAGGTGGCGGGAGGCTGGCCCTCTCTCCTTCCCCCTCACACTCCTCTGGCGGCTCGTGGGAGCGCCCCTACGCGTGTCGAGGGAAAGGTCCCGCTTCCTTTCCCTCAGGGGGTCGTCGGAACACGACGCGTGTCTCGCTGGGAAGGGGCGAGGAGAGAGAGAGAAAGAGAGAGAGAGGGTTCCGGGGCCGAGCAGCCGCGTCTCTCTCCCTCTCGCCCCCCTTTCACTTTCTCCCCCTCACGAGCTTTTCCCGCCCCTCGGAGGCCACCTCAGACACACACACCCCAAAACACACACCTTTTCCTTCAAGGCCGAGAGGTTCGGGGGCTTTGCCCCTCTTGGGTCCTCTTCCCCCCCCCCGCTGCTTTCTTTAAGACCCCCCACACACATACATAATACATACACACACACGCGCGCGCGCACACACCTTTCCCCAGGAACTCGGGCGTTTTCTTTAGCCTGAGGGAGGAGGAAGGCCGAGAGGTTCGTGGGGGGGGGGAGTTTGGCTGCAAGGGCTGCCTTCCCCTGGCAATACCTCACATAAAAGCCAGGCTTTCTCCTCCTTCCTGGGCTGGGCCCTCGAGGGGGCAACAGGTTCGGGGGGGGGCTCGAGAGGGGAAGGGCAACCCTGGGCCATCTTCCAGAAGAAGCCCCTGCCCACCCCCCACACCCCCAAAAAAGTACAGTCCTTTCCTGTCTGAGGAAATAGATAGGAAACAATACATTTGGGAGCAAAGAGGCTTCCTCTCTTCTTTTCTTAGGGTAGGAGGGCTTGGGCTGCTTCCCTCCTTGAGCTTTCATATCCTTTTGGGGGGGGGATCTGCGTTGCAAGAGGGGAATCAGTCATGGAGAACCTCTCTCCCCCCCCTTTGAAATGGAGAGCTGTAGGGATGGGGGGGGGCAAAGAACCTTCCTCCTGACTCTTCCCTTCTCTCCAGTTTTCTGCTTGGTGCCATAGGAGCCCCTTTTGGGCTTCCTCCTTTGCCTTGAAGCCCTCGGTGAGCCAGCTGTGGGTTTTGGGGGGGGGGCAAGCAAATAGATTTGGGGCAGGAGAACATGTAACCCTTTTGAGCAGTTAAAGAGGGCACTTTGAACCCTGTACGTGTTGAGGGAAGACCAGGGACAAATAAATCACTTCTTCCTTGTGTGGAAAGTCTCCTTAGTTTTACGTAATTATCCTTGAGAGAGTTTGATGGAGAGACGGCATTAGGTTTGGGGATAGACTAGGCCTACCTGGCTTTGTTAGGAGTACTGTATTTTGCCTTGTTGGGGCAAGTGGGGGGGGAGAGAGACACTTGCAGAGACAGCATAAGTATGGGGTGGCGCTTTACCTTTACGTTTAGTTCTACGGATGTCTCTTTACTGCTTCCATTTGACAAAATGAGGGGCAGAGAACGGTGAACAGGAAGCTGAAGAGTGACCTTGTTCTCATCTTTAGAGCAGCTTATGGGAAGGAGAAACAGGAGAGACGATTGAATCCTGGAAGGGAGGATGTTTGTACCCATAGTTTTTCTTCAGTAAATAGTGGGGTGGAGAGTGAGTAGCAAAAGGGATGCCCACTGGGCCTTCCCACGTTTTACCCAATGCCCCTGCTGCCTTTGCTTTCTATTCCCTGGAGATGAGTGGGTGGTCCATGGAGTGATAGCTGTAGGTGTAGTGATAATAGCTCCAGGGCCTGGAGGTGAGTGGGCTTCCCTCTTGATCATTCCTTGCGGTTATGTGGGGCCGTTTATACCTTTCACCTTTGCTGTTCAGTTCTGGGTACCTTTTTCTACTGCTTAGATGGGAGGGGACATCCAGCTGAGCCTGTAGTTCCTGCAGGAATACAGCTGTAGGAAGAGGTGCTGATCTGTGCCAAGGTGGAGAAGGGATTGGCAGATGAAGCCGCCCTATTCACATTATGAAGTAGATTCACGTTTTGCTTGCTATTTTTTGTCAACGCTACATTTCTTTCTTCTGTCTCTGCAACTTCTCTCCCCACAGACGAGGTGTATTGAATTTTGCTGTCGCACATCTGGAAAACAAAATTGGTTCTACTCGACATGGAAACTTCAGGCTAAGCTATTCATCTGTGCTTGGAATAAAGCTGGACGCATAAAGTTCTTGGTGTTCTTCTTACGATTCGGATCCCCTTGCCCCTTCCCCAGGGGCAAGAGAGTGTCTCAGAAGGGTGGAGCCTCTCACCCATCTGGAAGGCCACCTGGTTTGGTTTACTGCCAGTCCCCGAAAGCTCAGCTGTAGAGTTTCTTCTGTTTCACATTTTCCTTTGGGAGATTGTTCTGCTAAGACAGACAATGCCGTGAACAGCAGCAGTGGCGGTTTCTGCTCACCAGCCCTACAAACTGTGCACCAGGGAGTTCATTAGACGGGGCAGAAGCGACCAGGCGACTTGCCATGGCTGGGAGCGGATACACAGACCTTCGAGAGAAGCTCAAATCCATGATGCCCTACCGGGACAACTATAAGAGCAGCAACACCCGGGACCCTGCAGAGTCCGCCTACGGAGCTGCTGAACGGAAACGCAAGTACCACGAGGATTCCGACTCGGAGCCCAGCGACTACGAGGAGCACCAGCGGGAGGAGGAGGAGGCAGAGGCCCAGAAAGTTAAAAGCGGCATCCGGCAGTTCCGCCTCTTCAGCCCCGAGGAGTGTGCCAAGATCGAAGCGCGTATTGACGAAGTGGTCTCCAGGGCCGAGAAGGGTCTTTATAAAGAGCACACTGTGGATCGAGCCCCTCTACGGAACAAATACTTCTTTGGGGAGGGCTACACGTATGGGTCTCAGTTGCAGAGACGCGGCCCCGGTCAGGAGCGCCTGTACCCCCGGGGGGAGGTGGACACTATCCCCGAGTGGGTTCATGACCTGGTTATTCGCAAGTTGGTGGAGCACAGGGTGATCCCAGAGGGCTTTGTGAACAGTGCCGTCATCAATGACTATCAGCCGGGGGGCTGCATAGTCTCCCACGTGGACCCCATCCACATCTTTGAAAGGCCGATTGTGTCCGTGTCGTTCTTCAGTGACTCAGCACTTTGTTTTGGCTGCAAGTTCCAGTTCAAGCCAATCAGGGTCTCCGAGCCGGTTTTTTTCCTGCCTGTAAGAAGAGGAAGTGTCACCGTGCTCAGGTAAGGAAACAATACAGGTAAAGAGGCCTTTCACGGCATCTGGTTGTGCCCAGGTCTAATCCTGCTTGCTGTATAAGAAAGTACGTTTTTTAAAAACTAGCATTTCCTCTTGTCATTGTTTTATGTAGCCTGATCTCTTTCATGTTCCTCATTTATCTTTTACAACACTTGTTGTTTCTGCTGCCTAGACTGAAAGAGAGTAACGCTTTTGGGGAGTTTGTAGATTCTTTTGTGAACCCAGGAATGTTGGCAGTTCACACCCCATGATGTAATATCACAGATTATTCATGCCCACTAAAGGAACAGTGGTTTACAGATGATCTCATGGGAGTCTCGAATGCTTTAGCAAGGTGTCCGTGGGAGAAAGTGTTTTTAAATGAGAGAAGTCTTAGCCTTTCCTTTTCATACCAAGTTCATTTCCAGTACATTTGGAAGTTACTCTGGGACACAGCCTCGCCTTGTTAAAGGCCGAAGTAAATGCAGGCTGATGAAGTTAACTGTGAATCAGGTCTTCAGATTAGAACGTGACTTACAGGCCGCATACAGATTTCCTGTGGGAAGGCTTCTTTGAGAGCAGGAAGTTTGAAATCCCTCAACGCTGTGGAGGAACTTGACTGGAGCAACAGAGAAGCGATGATAGTAAAGGAAAAGCTCCACGTGGGATCAGATTCCATACCAGAGATTTCTGGAAGGTAGCTGTCCTAGCTGTTGGGAATAGAAACAGAATCTTGTGACCCCTTGAAGACTTACAGGCTTTAGTATTTGAAATGAGCGGTAGTCCATGAATACATAAGAGAAATAAAAGCTGTTAAGTTTTTCAGGTGTCAAGAGATTCCTTGTTTTGTTACTGTCCATGCAGTTCTCTTTAACAGTCTTCTCAGTTTGGAGAACATGGTGCTATGAACCACTAAAAAATTTAAAATAAAACCTTTATGTTCCTTTCTGTAATGGGGAATTCTTTCCTTCTTGCAAAGAACTCCAGAAAAATAATGTGCATGCATGCTTGTGAGTAGTAAAAAATGATGTGACTGACTCTTTCCAGTGCGAAAGGCAGCTCGACCCAAGGGGAAGAAGTGTGTTGATGGCACTCCACCTTCTCCTCCAGTCTAAGCACTTTCAGAAAAGGGACAAAAATAACTTTGCCCCTTTATCCGGGAGCTTCAGTTAAAATTTGCCTGGCATTAAGCAGTTATGTCTACTTGAAAAAGCAGATTGGCTTGACTGTGCAGTGTAGAGTAAAGCAGTAAAACAACTGCTTTGGGAGAAATTATATTTGTGGTATCAAAATGAATATGCAAGGAGGAGATTTGGCTTGATTGTGTTTGAATTGAGTGCTCCCCACAGGCTTTTGCAGGACAGCTTCCATTCTTTGCAGAACTCAATGATTGTCTGCAACACATAACACACTTAATTTTTCTCACACTCTCCTGCTTCTCGATGCTGCTTCTTTTTCTTTAAAACTGGAAACATGAATACTCATAGATAACTGTGACAGTCAGTGTTTCGTGAAGCATTATTTTCTCCAGGTGCTCCGTGTGTAAGGGTGCGGGCTGCTGGGTCAGGATAAGCATGCGATAAAACTGTATTTATAGGCTTGTAAGCCAAAGCCAGCTCTGCCAGGATGAGTCAAACATCCCTTATGGTGAAGTGTTGCCATGGAAAAGAGAGGGCAAGCAACATTTTTTGGTCTGTGGAGCAAACGCCTCTGCCATTCGGAAGAGGCTATGTGAAGGGGTAACGTGATCACCCTGCTCACATTTGTAAGGGGATCTTGGCATGAGCCAGGAAGGGACCCTGCTGTCCCTCACATCAGCACAGCCTGGCCCAGTAGCCTCAGTGCATTAATAATGAAGGAGTTCAACTGGTAAGCATCCTCTCCTCTATTCCGTGCACACTGTAACTAAAGCTCACGCAGAAGCCTGTGTGGCAGGAACTCTGAGGCACAGCCTGAGCTGCTGCACATTGAAAATACAGTACAACCTTTTCTGGTGCATTTTGACAGCAATACAGGCATTACCTGGGGAGTATCTTTGTCGTTTTAATTTTGCCCTTGGCATGGAAAATGGGTGGCTTCCATCATGTCCCATGCATTGGTCACCTCATGGAGGGCACGCCCTCCATTCTATGCCCGAAGGCAATTTGTGCGTAATAATAAATGGCAGGCAGTTAACTTGTGCTCATTGTTGGTGTGGTGATATCCTAAAATGTTGAGGAGGGAAACAGGTACTTCGGGTACCAAATTCCACCTGCTCTGCAGAGTTCCCAAACTGGAATAAAGGGGAGGGACAGCATTGCAGACCTCATGAGCAGTTCTCATGAACATTAAGTGGGTTTATTGTTACCAGTTTCCATCAGCTCCCTTGCAAATGATGGCGATCTGGATAGGTTTTTTGAGGAATGTGGGATGTTCAAGGAGCAGTTTACTATTGCTAGTCCCTAGTGAGTTTCCAAAGCTGAGAAGGGATTTGAATCCAGGTCACCTAATCCAACAGTATCCACGCTGGCTCTTGTTTTGGTAGACAGTTGTAAAAAAAACATCCTCCACGCAAAGTAACTTGTGGAACAACTGAGTCTATTCTAAAAGGAGTCTTCTAGAATTGCAACTGACTCACAAGTCACCATGAAGTGGCTCGACATCCATCTTGTTGGCAGGCTGGTTTCCAAGGAAAGAACCCAGGGTCCGTCAAGTAACACTTCCAATGCCGAACATTTTTCAGCCAAAGTGCTGCAGCTTCTGAGTTCTTTAAATATCCACTTTAAGGACATCTGGCCAAGGAAGGTTAGCCTGTCTAGAACATCAGTGACGGCCAATTCGGTGAGTGTCCGTCTCCCAGTATTTTCCAGGTCTCCTTGGTCCCAGCAGATTCGCCTATAGGCCAGTGTTCCCAGTCACATGGGTGAGCTGGATCTAGAAATTTGGTCAGGCGGAAGAGCGAGCAGTTCTAAATGCAGGTGCTGTTGAGAGGCTGGGACGGGAGAAGCCTAGCCAGATAGGAGAGGCATGTTAGTTATGGCAATTTGACTCTTAATTTTGCTTCGTCATTGGCTTCTCTTGGCAGCAGTACATTCTGCAGGGGTCAGTGGGGCGGTTTGTATTCCACTTGCAGTACTTTGGTATGCAAACACAGGTTTCTGTTCACCTTCCTCTTTCTTGTGTCTTTAACACTGCAGGGTGTTTTATTTTGTTTTTTTAGTTTTTGCATTCATTCTTAAAACACGTGACTGCCATGGTGTTTTTGGTAATATTTCCAATGTGTGTGACTTGAGTTATATATTTGGACATTATGCATCTAACTTGGACACGGGAGAAATTTTCCATAAGGGAGACTTCAGTTATTCCAAAGAAGGGTACAGGATACAAAACACTGGCATTCCCTGCTTTCTATGCCCTGCCATGTGTTCGATAAAATCCAAAGTCACATTGGGCGTTTCAAGAGCGGGGGTGGGGAGGCAAGCGGATGGAATGCGCTCCTCTGGAACTGGTCCCTTTTCATGGAAGACTGTTGTGTTCCCAAAGAAAATGTTCAGAATTTACTTTTGTGTCCCAATGAGGAAGTGAACAAAACTAGGCACAAAAGCTACAGATAGTTTATGTAACATTGGTAAGCTGAGGGACAAAACACTTGAGAGAACAATTCAGCTCCTGCCCACAGCCTCTTTGGGCACTGATGTAATACTTCAGAGCTGTAGCCCTACAAACACAGTTCAGATGTTTGCTTTGGGCCCTTGATTTGCACAGAGAACGTCTGAGATGTTATGTGCAGTTACAAAATGTAGTCAGCCTTTATTGTCATGGCTGCCCAGGTGACTCCCTCGGAAGTGTGTTTGTGTGAGAGAGATAATAAACATTAATCTGTTCTCACGAATGGAGCATTCCCAGGATGTTCCTGAGATAAGCCAGGAGTTGGTTTTCACTTTGAGAAGCTCAAGTTAAACTGGGTTTAGATTCATGGAGATTCTGTGAGCCCTTAGCTAAATATCTCATCTCTCCCTAAATGACCGCTTGAGTCGTAAAACTTTATCAGAGATAGTTGAGGTTACCCTGCTTCCTGGGCTAAGGCGGTTCTGTTGCTGTTATTTTTGTTGAAATACTCTTGTCTTGTGTATGTTTTGTTTTTTCAATTACATAAACTGTCTTGTGAATATTTTGAAAAGCATGCTGCAGAATCCTCAATTAAACAACGGCAAAAGACCTGACGGTTTGCAAAGTGGAAATACGATGCATTCACAAGGGTTTCTGGTTGTAATGTTTCCAGATAGGCTTCCCAGAGACTCAGCTTCTTTTTCTTCTACAAGGATTCAGTAGCCTGGTCCCACACTGTAGGTTGGTGTCCACAGTTGGAAGCACCACTTCACAGTGGCCCATGCTCCCAGCTGATGGGGCATTTTTCAGATAGCACAACCAACGGGTGCTCCCAGAGCTATCTCCAGAAACCGTAGTTGACCTCTGTGAAAGTGTATGCATTATAACTGGATGCCCTTTCTCAGCATCTGCTAGCTGCCTAAGCATTAAAGTACCAGTGAGCCCATATAAAACCATTTACTCTGACCCCTAACCATGGGCTTTCTTGTGAGTTCAGGACTTTATGGGGCTCTCTGGCCTCCCTGTTTTCACTCCGTGCCTTTTCACTGGGGGATTTCCTTTCTTTTCCCCAATGGATTCCTCAGGTGACAGATCAAAGAGGACTTTTTCTGCGGAGGGCCCTAAACTGTATGACTCGTGATGATGGCCACAGGTTAGATGGCCCTAAGATATCACCTGAGTGTCTGAATCACTTTGGGACAGCATTTAAAGGTTTATATGGAAAAGAGCTTGCTCTGAATATGAACAGTAGAGCTGTGGAGTCAGAATTGGCTGCCCAGAGGGGTCCCAGGTTCAGAATCTAGCAGGTTCTGCATTTTGCATTCCTTCACTCATTTCTTCAGGCCATCTTAGCTGGAGATCAGGAAGGTTTATGTACGTGGGAGGTATACCTCCTGGAATCCCACTCTGGCTGTAGGGTTCTGGGAGTTACAGTCCAAAAGAAACAAATGTTTCCCCTCCTGTGATGCAGATGATCCTGGATACTAAGCATCTTAAACAGCAAAACATACAGTGGTGCCTCGCATAGCGATCGCTCTGTTTTATGACGAAATCGCTTTGCGATGGACTTTTTGCCATCGCAAGAGCAATCGCTTTGCGATGGCCTCTATGGGGAAAATTCGCTTTACGATGATCGCGGAGAAGCGATCATTGCAAAGCCCCTGCCAATCAAGCCCCTGTTTTTGGCCAGCTGATTGGTGGTTCCAAAATGTCCGCCGGAAAAACAAAATGGTGACCGCTGTTTTGCCTCGCTTTAGAGGCACGCTTATGGAGGATCTTCGCATAAGGTCAGTTTTAAAGCCCATAGGAACGCATTAAACATGTTTTAATGCGTTTCTGTGGGCTTTTAAAAATCGCTTAGTGACAAAATCCCTTAGCGACGTTTTTCCTGGAACAGATTAAAGTCGCTAAGCAAGGCACCACTGTACTATATATGTTGTGCTGTTTAAACCTGATATATATATATACACAGTATCTAGTTTCCTTATTGTGCTGTTTAAACCTGATATATATATACACAGTATCTAGTTTCCTTGGAAAGCCATTCCTTCTTGACAGTGTTAGGATAAAGATATTGATTGTATCTCCTTGCTGCCTCCCCTCAGAGCAATCTTAACCCTCCTGCACCCTTGCCTGAACCAGCATCTTGACTCTTGTAGGTCAGGGTTAAACAAGTTGGTTCCTTTCTCATGTATTTAGACCATTTAATTCTTGACCTTTCACTTTGCCTAAAATCCTGTTTGTTTTTTCTTTCTCATTCCCCAACCAACCAACAGTGGCTATGCAGCCGACGAAATTACACATTGCATTCGACCACAGGATATCAAGGAACGGAGAGCAGTCATCATTCTGAGGAAGTAAGTGGCAAAGTCCATTTGGAGAGAGCCCAGTCTGTCTGCTATCTGTTCCCCTCATAGCTCCAACCGCTTTTCGCGTTCATATTGCTGCCAAGACTTGGGCAGCCGAAACTGTTACCAGCTATTGAGGTGATCAAGCACACTTTGCAAGTTGTTGACATGTGTTTGTGAGACACAGCTGTCTTCTTTGTGTGTTGTTGAAAGACCTTCATTCTCGAGCGTGTCAGGTGGATCTTCTCTGAGAGGTTCCACTTGCTGGGGCCAAGCTTGTTTTTCCTGGTTTCCCCCATTTCTCAGTTGGCAAAACATGCAGGAATGTGAGAACCTGCCTTATACAGAGTCAGATCATTGATGCATATAGTCCAGTATTGCCTACTTAGGCGGCTGCTTCCCAGGGTTTCCCAGATGGATTCTTTCCCAGCTGGACCTGGACATGTCACAGATCCTGACACATTTTGTGTGCAGGTGAAGTGCTCTATAGAGTGCCATTGAGTTACTGACCCTAGGTGGGTGGAGGGAGAGTCTCCAGTAATTTCTGCTGAAAAAAAGCTTCCAGAAGGGAGTTTGCAGGAAAAAAACAACACAAAACTTGGAAATGTGAGACAGATCTATGTTCTGAGGAAGCCAGCTAAAAAGTTTGAGCAATTCTGGGCAAGATTCCTGTGCATGTTTTGTACATGCCACTCTGAGAAGGGAGTATTCACCCAAGAGCAGAATTTATAACTGTTGAATGTTTGGGCTTTTTGGTTTCAAGAGGAATTTTCCCAAGCATCCTGGTTACCCCTTCAGGGCAGCAACAGTGGAGCAATATTTATGGGCCTTTCCTGCATGCTCTCTAAGGGAGCAAGGGTAGCCGCTGGAAAAGCGGGCCCTCTTGCAGGCCGAGTGAGTGACAATGACCAAGGAGAAGCGGTTGTGTTTTGCTTTTCGCCGTCGCCCAGCTCCTGACACGTCATCAGGCATCAGTGGCATGAAAAAGATTTGGTCAGTTGTTTTTAAACCATTCTCTGCATCAGAACAACTTGGAAAAGTTAATATAATCACAAACAAGTTTGTTAGGTCGCTGTGTTTTGAAACAATAAAAGACTGTAAACAAGTTGTTCCATTTGCACTTGGGAATGTTTGATCAGGCTCCTGTAACTGTAAACAGATCAACAAATCGTCCTTCCTGTGTGGCCTTTGTTACAAAATGGCAAGGTCAGAGAGAGAGCATAGAAACCATTTTAAAAAGACATTTATGCTCCATGGAGCACAGGCCAGTTCTTAAGCATTGTCGGTGTCGTGGCTTTATTTGGTTGGTGTCTCAGTCTGTTTTCAAATCTAGACTCTCTCTCTTCCTCCTTTTTTCTCTTATTTGGTTTAGAATGCAGAATTCTACTTAAAACAAAAGCCTTTGCTTAAACCAGGCAGAGGAGCATGCTTATGTTCAGGCAGGCCTTCCCCCTTTCCACCTAATACCTAATGATTTTTTCTGTTATAATATATCCTATTTCTCGCCATCTTTGGGAAAAATTTTTACTCTGTCTTTTAATTTATGTAAATTATTTTTTTTTGTGATGTGCTCTGCAGGTCCTAGTACACCAGCCAGTATACTCACTGTCATCCTAGCAGGGTAGGTGTTAATTTGGGAGTTATTGCTCGGAAGAGTGTCCAAGCTCTAGTTCTATCCATGCTGTCCCAAGACTGCCAGGCAGTTCCAAAGCATGGCGACCTGTGGCCAGTTTTTTTTTGGTCTGGGGAGCCAAATTTTTATTGTGCAGATTTCTACACCTTCATAGGATGGTGCTTCTAGTCATTGGTTTTTACTCTGTCTTTTAATTTATGTAAATTATTTTTTTTTGTGATGTGCTATGTTATATGTTTGTTTTTTAAGTGTATGTTGTAAGCCGCCTAAGAGTGGTCATAATTGACCAGATAGGCGGGGTATAAATGAAATAAATAAATAAATAAATAAATAATGCTCTGCAGGTCCTAGTACACTCCAGCCAGTATAGCCACTGTCATCCTAGCAGGGTAGGTGTTAATTTGGGAGTTATTGCTCGGAAGAGTAAGTTTTTCCACGCTCTAGTTCTGTTTATTTATTATATTTATTTATTTGATTTTTACCCCGCCCCTCTAGACCATGTCTATTCGGGGCGGCTTACAAAATAAAACAGAACAGTATAAAAATATATAAAATCATAAAATTACAATTTTAGTTCTATCCATGCTGTCCCAAGACTGCCAGGCAGTTCCAAAGCATGGCGACCTGTGGCCAGTTTTTTTTTGGTCTGGGGAGCCAAATTTTTATTGTGCAGATTTCTACACCTTCATAGGATGGTGCTTCTAGTCATTGGTTTAGAAGCAGAGTTATATGGGTAGAACAACCGTCCGCTGCCAGTCTGTTTCTGCACTCTCTGGATAGGTTCTAGAGAGGTGGTGGAGTCCCTCAACGTCGATTCAGTCTCAGGGTAGCTGTGTCTCTTGTTTGCCCCCCTCCCATGTTAAAAGGTAAAGGTTCCCCTTGACAATTTTTGTCTAGTCGTGTTCGACTCTAGGGGGCGGTGCTCATCCCCGTTTCCAAGCCATAGAGCCAGCGTTTGTCCGAAGACAATCTTCCGTGGTCACATGGCCAGTGCGACTTAGACACGGAACGCTGTTACCTTCCCACCGAGGTGGTCCCTATTTATCTACTCGCATTTGCATGCTTTCGAACCGCTAGGTTGGCGGGACCTCCCATGTTGCGGGTTGGTTTTTGTTTGCTTGCTTGCTTTCTATAAGGCAAGTCTTGGTTAGTTTTGCATCTTTTCATTCTCTTTCAATTTGTCCCTGTCGTTATGAAGCAGCTTCTCTAGATCAAGAAGCAAGCAGTTTCTATGTAGCATGCCCCACACTTCAAAGTAAAACAAAGACCGATGAACAGGTGGTATTTCATGCTCTTTGTTGTTACCTAGTCACGAGAAATGAGAAATCTAGGTTTGAGGAAGGAGCCATCTTTATTGAGAGATCTGATTCTTTCTTGTAAGATCAGAAGTTTGCAACCATGGCCTTGTCTGGCCAGCCATGAAACAGGCTGTGTAGCTGTTGTACAAGAAAGGTTCCTCCTGTCTGATCAATGTGGCACAATCGTGGGCACAACAGATGTCTTCCTTTCTCGCCCCTATAGAACCAGACTCGACGCACCCCGGCTGGAGACCAGATCCTTGAGCAGCTCAGTGCTGGTGTCCGGGTACGGCTCTGACCGCCTGTCAGGAAGCAACAGGGATCCCCTCCTGAAGCCAAAGCGCTCTCATCGTAAAGCAGACCCAGATGCTGCTCACCGGTAAGACCACCTGGTGAGGTTGAGTCTCTAGTCATTGGCTGGTTTGTTGAGTGAAGAGGGAGCCCTCGGTTGCACGGCACCCCACAGCGTGGAGGGAGTTTGGCTCTCCTCTGTCTTTGGCTGCTTTTTGGGGATGTGAACAATGGCTACAGTTCAGCGAAGCTTGCTTTTTTAGCCTCAGGGTTTGAATCTTGACTCAGAGATCCGGATTGCAGCATGAATGAATTATACAGCAGCAGTAATTGCTGGGAAACGGTGACAAGGAAGAGAGTGTCTGTTAGCTCTGTTTCGCCTGAAGGGATGGTGGAGGGGAGGGTGGAGTGTACATTTTGGGGGCTTCCACAGAAAGGCCCTTCCGGTTTGGAACACAGTGGAATGCAGTGCGTCAAACATTCTGTCTCCTTCCGATCCCCTCCGTTGATCTGGCGGTGTCTTTTTCTCTCCGCTTAGACCTCGCATTTTAGAAATGGATAAGGAGGAGAACCGGCGCTCGGTGCTCTTGCCGAAGCACAGGAGGCGGAGCCATTTCAGCTCCGAGAACTATTGGCGGAAGTCTTACGAGTACACGGAGGACTTTGACGAGGAAGAGGAGGATGGGAGCCCCGCCCGGAAAGTCAAAATGAGGCGACACTGAGGGAGATCCGGCTCCATTGTCCCCCACCCGCCCAGGATCAGAGCAATGAAGACTGGCCTTCAGGCTGTGAAGTCGTATCTTTGGTTTTCCTTCCACATCCCAAACTCTGTGCCTCCCTTCGCTATTTCTCATCTAGCTTCAGCTTGGTATTCTTCCTTCCCCCCCACTTCTAGGTTGAGGAATAGCTGGAGCGAATCGAGCTGTCTTTTCTTGCTCGTGCTATGCCGAGGCATCCTACTCAACAAGGATGTGTTTGATCCCCCCCGCCCTCTTTTTCCTGGACCGCACATGCCTCACAATGGAGGCAGACTTCTTTTTGGGGTGGGTTGGGGAAGAGGAAAAAAAGCTATGCCATTTTCTGAGGTGTTTGGGCTGGAGTGGGGTTTTTAAAGATGCCAAAAAGTGACCTGGTTTGATTTCTTCTTGCTGAAGGGCTGTGAATGTCCTTCGCATTCGGATGCCGTTGCTTCTTATTCTAGCTATCCGGCATTGGATTCCGCGCCCGCGCCCCCGTTCACCCCTTTTTCACACCTGGCGAAAGGCCTCCCCATAGGTAGCGCCATCCCGCTCTGCACTACACCAAAGGGCTCCTAATTTTGCGAAGCCGTGTGGATTTTATTTGGTCCCTCTTTTGCTGTCGTTCAAAAGCCACCGCCTCCCTCCAAGAACTGGTGGGGGGAAAATGCATAAAAGCTTTGCGAACACCTCATCAGGGCACCGAATGACAAAGCGTTTAGGACGTGTTTGCACTTTAGTGTCAGGGTTCCTTCCTTCCACCCCACCCCACCCCTTTCATTGTGTGTGTGTGTGTGTGTGTGTGTTCTGTTAAATGCCATATAACCCCTTCCACTCCTCTCCTCTCCTCCCTTTATTTGCTTGGGCTAGCAAGCATCTGTTTTTCTCTCGCGCTGCTAACGGAGGGGATACCATCTGTATTCCCTTCCCATGAAGGATGCTGCAGGGGCTCCACATTGGGGCTGCTGCCTGAGGGTTGGTTGAGGGGTTGGGGGGCACTGTCGGAGGAGCGATGCCCTGGTTAGGAAAACCCTAGAGTCTGCCGGATCTTTCACACTAACAGCATTGGCAAGAGTGCACTGGGCGGGTTTCCGGCGCCAGAGAGCGGAAACTGCACCAGCACAGACCAAGTGCAGGCCTCTTTCTCAGAAGGCTCGCTCGGTGCATTAGGCACCCCGACCTTGTGTCAAAGATTGATTGAACACACCCTTCCCCACTGCCCCAGTTTTAGAGAATAATGTTTATAGCGGTACCGATCGGCCTCCTATCTCTGCAGACACCCATTGTGTGCAGCCGCTCTCCACTCATAAAGACCCAGGACAAGGGTAAGACTCGCCCTTGAAATGCTGCCAAGCTTGGCCCAGAACTGGGGAGAGGAAGGAACCGTTGCTTTGCCTTCAGTCCTCTGAAGGCGGATTGGGGCCTCGTTGAGTGAGCTTTGAGCTTGCTGAGTGGCTGTGCAGGAGCTGCCTTCTGTGAAAAAACAGGGATGCTTAAGCTGCTCCAGACTGGAGTAGGTTTCAAGCAGAGCAGTTTGGCAGATAGGATGTATGGAGGGGGGTCAGTCTGGCAAGCTGTACCCTGATCACCCCCAATTTTATAGCAAATGCCTCTCGTTTACAGCCTGCTGGTCTTCTTGCTTGGATTTGCTAGCCTGCCCAGGCTTAACTATTACCTTTTCCCTGCTGGAACAAGGTTCAGAAAGCAAGGCCTTGTGCCTAGCAGAGCCACCTCCCCACCCCCCCCGGGGCCCACAATTTTTTTTGACCCTGTCATGTCTTCTCAGGGGCTGCAACCTGTTCATTTTGTTTTGCCTCCCTCTTTCCTAGCCCAAAGGAGTAGCCAAAGTACAGAAATAAGATCAGAACATGAGTTTGAACGGCTTTTTAAAAAAAATATCCCTATCAGCATCTTTTCCCCTTAGTGCCCTGTGACAGAACTGTCGGTACCGGAGAAAGCCTACTCTTTAAGTATCTCGAACTTCCATTCCCCTCTTTTCAAATCTGAATGCTCCCCTCCACGGACATGCAGTTCTCACGTGCCTTTTTGCAATGGTCTTGCTATACCTCACAATAAACAGTGAATTCTAATGTGCTTTTTGACATATTAGAGTCCCCACCCCTAAATAGGCTTGTCTAACTCTGCAGGCTAGCCCAGAGAGGGAAGAACAGAGGGAGGTGAGTTATGATAAAGTTGCAAATATGAGGCAGCAGATGGAGAGATGTTTACACAGATCCTTGTCACCTCTTTCTGTCTTCCCATCAAGGCAGCGCTTTTGATTTCAGAAAGCAGTGCTTTCACAACAAAGAGAGGTGTGGGTTTTCTGTGAGCGCTGCTTTGATTGCACAAGCTGTTCCCACATAATCAGGCTGAGAAGGAAGGCAAATCGGGGGGAATGTCTGAGGGAAGATTTCCACGTTTTCCCTTCCTTCCTTCCTTCCTTCCTTCCTTCCTGTTCTGTGTAGGTGAGGAGGACTGAACATCGTACAGATTGCCGAGATGTTCCCGAATAGTCTGGTCTGAAATTGTTAAGCCTAAACCCTTTCGAATGAATTTACCTGGCTGCACAGGAAGGGTTGTGTTCCTCAGGTTTTTGTTCCTGCAAAAGGTACAGGGCAGTCCGTGTGTAAAAAAAGCTAACCAAAAAGGGTATTGCCAGTTAAGCATTCCTAAGGAACACCTAGAACAAGAATAAAAACATCTGGATTGCCCAACACTACTTGGGACGCATCCTGCCAGTTTTATGGGTCTCCCCCGCCCCCAGCTTTATGCCCAATCTTAGCCAGGACAAAAATCAGCTAGCAGGGGTGAAGGTGTTTCAGTCCAGATTCCTTTGGTAAGGAAGCGGAGGTTGCTCAGCTTGTGGACAGAATCCGCACCCATGGAGGCAGGAGTGTTCTGTCAGGGGCAGTCGCTTTTTAAATCTTTGCATTCCGCTCAGACGTTCACTGCCCGCTGAAAAGAGCAAACGGCTTTCTGAGCCTCTGGTAATCTTGGCAGGAACAATGACACCCTCAGAGATCCCATTTCCTTGCCCAGCTATGGCAGCTGCTTAAAATTTTGGATCCGTCTGCCCATAAGATCTGCAGAGGTAAGAGCGTTAGCCGGCGGTGTCCCCGAAAGGTTGATTCTCTTGCAATGTTATGCAAAAATAAATGCAAGGAAGGGGATAAGGGTGTGTTTAGTGTGAGATTTCTTAGCAGCCATCACTGCAGGAGGCTTGATTCCTTAGCCCATCACCAGATTTGGACTCTTTCAAAACTTCGGATCTGTGCGGCTTGAGTCCCTTTCCAGCAACCGGCTGAATTTGTGTTGGGTTTTTTTAAGAGCACTAAATACTGTTGAACTTGAGTCAGAAGGCAAAAACTTCTGCCTGCTCCGAATTCCACCTGGGTTTCTCTCCCTTGCACCCGCCTTCCTCCCAAGCACACACTTTAAAGTAAAAAAAAGTTCCGGCTGACTTTTTTTGTGTTTTTTTTAAAAAGAAAATGAAATCTAATTTTTTGTTACAAATAAAATAAGTGGCAATATTTTTTTCTGTAATTTTTCATAGGAAAAAACGTGATTTGTAAACAAATTGTACCGTTCTGAAGTTTGAGATACACAACCGTACTGCGGGGCACGCTGTTCAGGTGGGCGGGCGGGGTGGGGAGGGATGATTTTTCATACAGTACAGTGTATTTGAGGGAGAAATCTTTTACTTCTGGTTGATTTAGGAAGAACTATAGTTCCCTGTCAGGGTTTGAAATTTCATTTTTTTTTTCTTGTATAGAATGCTGCATTTAACTAAATAAAAGCCGAAAGCATCACTTGATTGAGTTGGGTGTTTGGATGTATGTGTTTTTAACCATAATTGTGTTGATGTTAATTTGATCTATAGTGTATCTTTCTCCTAAGAGGTCTGGACGTTGAGTGATCTACGTAAAGAGTTATGTGGCAAATACTGAAAGTTACAAATAACCTGGAATATTATGTCATAGATGTTTGCCAGAACAGTACAATCAGAGCCGCCCTGTGCTTATATTTTTGTGATAGCTTGTTGGCCGGTAAAGAAAGCAGTCCCACATCATCTGACTGGAGTGAGGACTGCTAAGTCTTGTCAGGATGTTTTCCGCGATTGCAAACAAGAAGAAGATTCTGGTCCCTTCCTCAGGAAGGTTCAGAAGGTAGGGCTCACCCAGCTGAGTGAAGCAAAGCAGCTCTCTGTGGGTGTGCATTACCTTCATAACCCACAAGATGGGGCTGGATGCCTTATTTTGGTGATGGTGCTGCTGAGGGGAAGTTGGTTGGAAAGAGAATACAGTGGCATCTATGAGACTGGAGGATTCTTCCAAACGGGACCTGTATACCTTATACGACTTAAAGAGTTTCACTTTTCCGTTGCTTGCTTGCTTGCAGAAGTTTGTGGGATTTATCGGGTGTCTCCTGACAATGGGTGGTTTAGCGCTAAACTGTTTTTCCGCCTTAGCACTATATTTGTGCTTCCCAGCGCCCAGCAAACGCCCACTGTGGTTCAATATACTTTCTGTGTGCTATCTCAGGCTGTGTCGATCGTTGTTCCCTTATACTAATTGTGCATTAACCACCCTCATGGGGTGCATCCTAGCGCTAACTTGTTGCCCTGAGGCATAAAGAGACATTTGAAAAAAATAGATCTGGATTTTGGAGGCTGGAAAAAGTTGTGGATCTTTGGGATGGGACCCGGAATGCTGCGTAGGAATGTAAGAGAAGCGGTTGGACATCCAGAGAAAATTCCAGTGCAGTCAGAGCAGGGCCTTAAACAAATGGCATTATAAACAGCCCTGAGAGTGATTTCTGTGATGGGACCAGCCCCATGCAGGTGGAGATTGTAATATCCTCTGAATGGCATGGCAATCATTTTCAAGCTACTAGTCCTTAAGGCTGAGGAGACGGGCTTTGATGTATGGGAAACACATAGTGAAAAATCTCAAAATCCCAATAAAAAAAGGCTGGAGTCAGGTGTGCAGATCAGGAGGGTCGTCTTCTGTAAATTACACAGCTTCTCCAAACACACTAGTAAGAGGACTTCGATATTTTTTTTTTAAAGCTTAGGTAAGAATTTATTATATATGTATTAAAAACATCCTGGCATTTAGGTTAAAGCTCCCCAGGGAACTTGCAGGCCAGTGTCTGCTCTCTTGGACATCGTTAATAATCGTTTAAAAATCAAGTTCACGTTTTAACCTTCTGTCCATCTGGTGCCCGAGGGAGAGCTGAGGGTGCTGAGGAGGGAAATCAAGGAGTAATGGACATGACCCCCTTAGGGGGGAAAATGTCTAGGAGGCAAAGGTCAGGAGATCAAGGGTCTTTAATTAGCTGCCATTTCTTACCCTGAGAAACAGCCTTTGCTGAGCGATGGGACGGATGGATGTCTAAATGCACCCATAAGCGGGGTTTTCAGTGTGAATGTTCTCCTCGGCTAGGGCAGAGCAGAAGTTGCCCATTTTAAATGAACAAAAAGCAGAGCGGGGGGGGTATATGTCTGCTGCTCCCTGAAACCAGCAAAAAATGCCTAGGGAGCCCTCCTGGCTGGGGGATTCTGGGGGTTGTAGTCAAACTAAAATGCCATTTTTTAAAAAGTGGTTAGGCAGGTCTGCTGGGGCAGTGATCAAGCCCGGGTGGGTTATTCAAGCGGAAGTGGGAATAATTGTCCTTGGAGACAGCCCTCAAAAATAACACAAGCCCAGTTCCAAAGTGTAAAGGCAGTGTTTCCAATGCGAGCAGGATGTAAACTTCTCTTTATCAAAAGGCCTCCCCTATCAAGATGCTAAATGGATCTGCAGGACCAAGTCCCTGATTGCCTTAACAACCCTAGATTCTTAACAAGGAGTTGTTCATTGACTGCTATAAAAAGGGGTCCATCTAAAGTCCCCCCAACTGCCCCCTCCCAAAAAACCCATTAAGATTCTGGATTGTACCCAACTTCTCACGTTTCGTGTATCATCCTTGCTAGGTAGCCAAAGTCTATCCGAATGAGAACACAGAAGGGGGAAACGCTGGGCCAGAAAGATGCCAAGAAGTCCCAGGCAAGAAGACAAAAGTATGTTACGTTTTCATCCCGTTGAGTTGTGATGGCAAAGAACGTGCTGGAGTAGTGGAGGGCTCTCTGGCTGCGGAGCCAAAGGTTGGGAGGTGATGGCAAAGAACGAGCTGGAGCAGTGGAGGGCTCTCTGGCTGTGGAGCCAAAGGTTGGGAGTTCGATCCTCCGCCGCGCCTCCTTGAGAGGGGTTGGACTTGATGACCCTACCCGCTCTAAAATTGTTATGACTTGTCACGAAATATCTTCGGGAAAGTGGTACCCGCTCTAAAATTGTTATTACTTGTCACGAAATATCTTCGGGAAAGTGGAGTTGGCGTGGCTGTCGTCCCTGTGGCCTGCCTGCCGTCCACGGAGGTCACCCCCTGCATTGCTCTGATGCGGTCCCTGGCCTCCAAGGCTGCTCCCTGGCCCAGATGGGAGCTTTCGGGAAGCCTTTTCCAGCAGCCCAGCCTGCTGGACTCGCCCCTGTCTTTTCTCCCACCACCCACCCCCTTGCTCTCGCCTCAGTTGTCAAGCTTCATCCATCAGAATCGGAGGCCGGCTGTGTTTCTTGAACAAGGTTCAATTCCCCCCAACGCTGGACAGGGAAACTCAACACAGTGCTGGCGGCACACGGAGAGATTTTTTTAAAACAATTCCTTCTTTGGCCTTTGTCTGTTCAAAATTGGACCACCTTCTCACCAGCCCCCAATTAACAGACGAAAAGGGGGTTTGGCCAAACGACGGGGCCGTGTGAAGGTCCCCAATTCCACCCTGAAGAGTGAGCACCAGCGTTTACTATCTTACTGTCTTTATTATTTTTAATAATACCTTTATTATTATTTTTTAATAATACCTTTATTATTATTTTTAATAATACCTTTCTCCTTTAGGAGGACCCGAGGCAGCTTGCATCATTAAAGGGCAACATTAAAAGCTCAAAACTGTAAGTCTACAAATACTGAAAAGGATCACACGAATGCCACACTAAAAGAGGGTAAACAAAATCAATACCAAAACCACATTCAAAGTAGTAAAGCACAACCATCCTTGGGCAGCCAGTCATTCAGAGAAAGCTTGCCTGAAGAGAAAGGTATTGGCCCACTTGCGGAAGGACAGCCAAGATAGGGCCAGCCTGGCCTCCAGTGGGAGGGAGTTCCGGGGTCTAAAGGAGCAGCCACAGAGAAGGCCCTCTTCTGTGTCCCCACTAAATGCACCTGTGAAGGCGGTGGGCTTACATTTTCCGATTCCAACTACAACCTCTCTCTCTCCCTTTTGTCCGAAGCATCCCAGGGAGGCTGAGGGAGGCACCACGTTCTCCTGCGCTGTGATTTGTCTCCCAGTTTCCCGGAAACGTTTTCCTCCCTTCTGAAACAGGGTTCTCTTCTCCTGCCCTTCTCCCCAAGTCCTTTTTAGAACTTCTACTGGTTCTATGTTTGAACTTAACATCATGTTATAAGTTACCCGCTTCGTCATTGCTCTTCAGCCCCCTGCCTGCCCACGATTCGGAAAAGCCCCATGGGAAAAGTTACTCCAGGAGTTTTCCCCGTGGGCTAGAACTGAAGTCTGACCAGCAGGGCCCTACATAAAGAGAAGACGTCACACAGCAAAAATCTGCTAAAAATGACTTCGATTCAGCTGCCCAAGGGAAAGAGAAGCTTGAGGGGAGAGCTCCCTTAAATGGTTCCAGAACCCTACAAATCGAGATCCAATCCCTTAACACTGGAGGCACAATATACAGGGATTTAATTTCCACCAGTATAAGCCCTGTTCAGATTTATGGGCATCGTCTTGCTGTGTGGCTTTTGTCTCCCCAGCTCGTATCCAACAGCACCAGTGTAATTTCTGACCGCTCGTGATGAGCGACGTCTTTATTCCGCTCTGCAAGGAGCATTCTCTAAAAGGGCTGTTTTGGGGTAGATCCTGGGGAGGGGTTTGCCCACCCGCACAAGGAGCCCGTTCCTGCTTTAAGCAGAGGACAGTTTTCACACCGTCGTTCTTCAGTGGGGAGGGCTGCTCTCTGCAACGTATAGGACGTGCAAGCATCTTCTTCTCCAGGAGGACGAGGAGCCCCATCCTGCTGGAGCGAGGGGCCTGGGAAGCATCGTCGCT